GGTGTGATGGCCGACATTTGTGTCGTTAATTGCTGCAATTTCATCACGTGCGTCGGATGTTGGTGTGATGATTGCTCGACCATCTGATCCGCCGATCATGGCGTCGGGAAAAGTGTTCACTTGTGCGCTCCCCGCGTGGCTAATTACTCCGCCTAGGCGAAGTCTCAGCACCGAGTATGGAAGGGGAAGTTCATTGCACTTGTTAATGGACTGGGGACCAGTAAACCATGACTCAAGCAGCTCCCGGCTCACGCGGTTGTCACCTCTTGCGAGAATTTCGGTCTCGTCGAATTTGAATGTGTGCCGCCGGATCTCGTCGAATGAGCTGCAACTTGACAGCTGGCGTTATTTCTCCTCACCGGTTCAGCGTGTTCGGCCATTCGCGTTCGGAACTGTCTTTCGGTTTCTTCGACGTAGTTGCTTTGTCTGCAACTGCATCAGATCAGATAAACGACTCCAGACGTTTCTTGTCGTGGCAGCGGGTTTTTCGGTTTAATTAACTGACGCCTGATGGTTGCCTCCGGTCTGTGCGCAAATCCGAAACGTTAGGCTAATAAAGCTCTTGTCCCTGCGATCGTGTCTCCTTCTTCAATACTGCTTCCTGGGATTCGTCTCTTCGCTTCTATTGGCAATGTGTTTGGGCACTGATGATATTATTTTCGGTAGGCGTGTTGATGTCCGTTAAAATCCAACTGGGAAAAAAAGCAGGACGGTGTGTTTTTCTTTGAGAGTAAGTTGTCTACATTTTTTGGTATACGGAACTGCGAAGGGTTAGCCGAGGTTAGCCATTGCCTTTGTCTCAATGACTGTGGGCCCCCAGTTCGCTCTGAGTGAGGGTTGGGAATGGGCTACCGATTGTTGGCTTTTCCTATAGTCGGTAAGGATTAAAGTTAGTGTTAGGTTCAAGGGCTAGAGTGAGGGCCTAACGGTTAATGTCAGGGATCAGTGATTATGGTCAGGCTTAGGGTTACTGTTGCGGTTAGGATTAGAGTTCAGTGATTAGGGTCAAACTTTGAAGGTAAGGGTTGGGGTTTGAAAATTAGGACAGGGGTCGTTATTAGGGTTAGGGTTTGGCTAAGGTTAGGGTTCACAGATTAGGTAGGGTTGTGGTTTGGTTTATGACAAAGGTTACGGTTTGGGGCCAGGGTTAGTGTTAGGGTTATGGTCGGGATTTGGGTTAGGCTTAGATATAGGGCCAAGTTTTGGGTTAGGTTTAGCTCAAGGCCCTGGGTCAGGGTTCGAAATTTGACTAGAGTAAATGTTCAAAGATGAGGTTGTTGTTACGGTTAGGATTAGGGTTTGAATCCGGCTGATCGTTTTAACAGCTGTTGATTAGATACTCAGTAATTCTGCATTTCGATAGTTGAATTCAGTGACGATCAGTTGTATCATCATTTAA